ATATAAACAAGGGCCTCGGGCCACCACACCGCAGGCATCTTTGCATCCATTAATGCACACCGTACTTTCCCAAACTTAGTTTGATGATCTCTCTCAGCGGCACCATTTTCTTCTGGTGAATACGGTATAGACTTTTGATAGGTTATACCCTTTAACTTGCAGAAGTCATCTAATTCTTTATTGACGAATTCAGTGCCACCATCACTTCGAATAACTCGAATCTTGATGGCGCCTTTCCTGTCCAAGTTTTGAACAAGGTTTCGAATGTTTTCAAACACCTGCCATTCATGTTGCAATTCATTTGAATAAAAATGGTTTACATTTAAATAAGTTTTATCGACTTTACATACTGTATTGAAATCATTATTTATATCTTGGAAATAATTATGGAAAAAAGTTTGACGGACCCGGGATTGAACCCTGGCCCCCGTACTTCTCCAACCGACGTCTTTTTGCGCCACCGCGTCAAACGCTTATCTTTGTACATTGCTCATCAATTCGGTCGATGTCCATACTTCTAATTTGCATAATCTGTCGAAAGTGATAATTGTACAGCTAACGAATGGAAGCAAGACACTAAACAAGACACTCAATCGCGGCTGCACAATTTAATAACCTGCAAAAATGTCGTGAGAAACAGTGTCTGATTGGTCACATTATGACACGAATTTCGAAGTTAATTAGATAATCAATGGCATTTGAGGCCAGGTTTTCGAAGTAAAATTTGGTGAACCATTCCGTCGTTCCCTGTACTACTCCGTAAAAAGGAATCCTGTGGTGATTGGTATACAGTACTCCGGAGTATCGCACTACAGTATTAATAATTGAAGTCAGTCACTAATTTGACATTGATGATGGTTTCCTGCAACCGCATTGGCTCAATTCTTCTGCAGATTCGTCTGTACAGTTGATTGTGTCGTCACTCTTATTGTGCTTTTCAACATTTCTGCCACGGGTTTTAGCAGCTTTAAGGATTGAACGTTTTATATAAAGCAAGGTTGCACTTCTCTAAAACGAAACAAATCGAAGGCTCTGTCATTGGGCGAAATAAACACGTTGTTTTAGTAGTATAGGTGCAATGGGCAAAGACATGGAAGGACAGCCACCGCTGAACTTGGTCGCAGCAGACAGTGGAGTACAGCGTCGGAAGAGCACATCACAATACACGTGCAGGGGCTACGAGGAAAGTGTAGTACAACGACGATAAAGCACTCCTCTACAACACTCCTCTGTCCACCATCTTCGCTTGACTCCACGGCCCGCCACCTCGCACTCGGTGGGTGGAAGGTGGTGAATTGCAACGAAGATGGTGGACGTAGAAATGGTGTTGCGTGGACCTACGGGAAAGGAAGCGCAGCACCATAATGGACGACCACCACTACACAGTACTGACCACCGCCAGTAGTGTACTCGACGGCAGCGGATTGTGGAGTATAGCCACGGTTTATACTTCAGTTTTCAAGACTGATACTTTAAACCACTCAGCCATCTATCCAAAAAATTAACTTCATTTTATATTTTTAGCACGGCATCCATTAACTGTAAAAGGTAATTTAGTACGATCATAAATAGATAATATTTTTATTTTTAATTATTTAATTATTATTAAAATTATAACGACCTGTTGTTGCGTTGCCATGATGGACATACCCGTAGTCCAAGCACCCACTCGACGCGCCTGGAAGGGTTGGGGCCAGGAAAGGCCAGGTCTAGTCTTAGGTGATTGGTTGAACCAAAAGGGAATTTAGACTTAGAGTTAGTATAGGAAGTATAGGACCAGTTTAGTCAGTTAGTGAGTAGGTCAGTTCTAGTTTTGCCTCCAACTGCTCAATACACTACCAAGCTCTGCCCGGGAGTCCACTGCTCCCCCAACATTGTGTTGAGAAGTTGCACGGAGGCAAGTTACGACAAATAGTTATTTAGTGCATCAAGACTAGCACTCAACAAGGATGTCAGAGAGGACAGGGCCGACCGCGCCAGGGCCGCAGCGATGACGCCCAAAGAGGCGTGAGGAACGGACCGCGCGTACGACCGCTGGAGCGAATCGACGGGATGCACCCCAGTCCCCAGCTGCCCCAAGTTACAGTCGACAAGAACAACGCGACGTGCGCCAACGGCGTGACGACGGCGAACGGAGCCGCAGTCAATGGCGCGACAGACGCGATCGATCAAGCGAACGGCCCGAACCACGAAACCATCACTCAGGCTACCGCTCGTAATCTCGCGACCGATACGGTGGTCGTTCGTACGAACGGCACGATGAAAAACGCAGTTCCCGTTATGGATCGCCCGACGGCAAACCCAAGCAGAAAGTGGGATTTGCGATGAGACGTGGACAAAGCCCCGCTCCATCCCATGGAGGAATTTTGCGCAACCGCGAAGGGAAACGAAACGCCTGATGGGGACATGTCCCCCGTGGTAACAGCCAGGAGAAAAACCGTGTATAGTTGAACTGGTCCCGCGAGAACAGCGTCGAAAAACCTAAGGCCGTTGAACAAAGTTCAAACCAGGCTTACCCTTTGATGTTCGGTGAAATTGATATGGACGACTACGATGAGGATGGAAACCTCGTGACAGCTGCCACTCATGGCGGATACGTGAACCCTTTCGAAAACCGATGGGAATCACAGAATTACCGGGTGGTGGAAGAACAAAAGAGAGAAGCGAGAAAACGCAAAGCCAAAGAGCTAGTAAAGACCAAGGAGTTCATCCCACTGACGAACGACAGCGAGGACGAGTCGACGAGTCGGACGTAATTCGGCGGAAGGGACGAACGATCCTAAAAACCAAACCAGCTGGGGCTAGCCGGACTGTTCGGTGCGTATATGGCTGGGAGTCAAAAATCAAACAATTTGAGCCAAGGGAATTCATGCCGACGGGGTGTTTGAAGTGCGGCGATACATCCCACATATACGACAAATGCCCTGGCCAAGGACAGAGCTAAGATCAAGTACGAATTGGCGCTGGTTGCACAGCACATGCAGAATGGAAAGATGCTCAAGCCCAAAGCGAAGAAGCTCCGGGACAGTCTCATGACGGTCAACAAGAAGTGGCGGGAAGAACAGGAACAATGCCGCGTGGCAAAGACAACGGAGCCTGAGAAAAAGAAGCTCCAACGGATGCTGGAAAACCCCATCGGCGAAAGCGTGGCCACCATCAACGGTGTGCTAGATATGCCATATTGCCCTGACAACGGTAGCGATGTGGGAATTATTTCCACCGCCATGGGCGAGACATTATGCAAGCTGGACGAAACAATCCAAACAACGCATCTGCCAACAGCATGGGTTGGAAGCGCTGTCGGAAACCTACCCGTCACAGCGAAGAAGACGGTGGAATTGCGGGTCATTCTGAGAACGGCCGCTGGACAGTCAAGCTGCCTGGAAAGCAGCTGTTCTACGTGGTCGACGACAACTACGAGCTCATTGTGAGCAAATATGCCCTGATGTCGATTGGACTCGACATGGATCGATTACTCGAGCAAGCTGCCGTGCGCCAAATACATGAAGACAGCGACGACATCGGCGACCCCGGCGCAGATGAAGACATCGCATTCGGTGTCAGCGTGCAAACGACAAACAGCTGGACATGGAAGACATGCGAGCTGCTGAAAACCTCTACAAGATGGCAACTACATCCGCGAACGCCGCTGACCAAGCACAGGCTGCGGCATTTAAGCAACTACGAGGAATCGTAGTCGATGCCGCCGCCAAAGGAGTATGGCGAACCAAGTTCAGAGGCACAGGCCTCCCGGCGAATGTGAAGGCGATGGAAATACGACTCAAGGCGGATGCATGCCCCAATCGTTGCAAACCTAGAAAGGTGAACCCTTTGACGGGCATGTTCGTCGAAGCGTTTAGCAAACAGCTGGAGCAAGACCAAGTTATTTATGCCAACAGCTCAAGCTCCCATTGCAGCCCCGTCAACCCGGTTATGAAACCAGAAGGAAAGAAACTCGTCAAGACCAGCGATAAGTGGACAATCGAAGAACTGTTGCAGTATTTTCGTCTTACGATCGACTACAGAATCATCAATAGCGAAACGATCCCACTTGTCGCTGGTGCCATGCCGTTCCAGTTCCTCGTATTAGAAAACGTCCTCGGCTTGTTCCACCTTACGTAAGGTTTCTGGCAATTACCACTCGACAATAACTCACAATTTTATGCTCGGCTACCGCATTATGACCCCAACGAGGGTTATGGAAGGCCACTGTGACTCGGCGCTGTTCTTTCAGAACACATTGGCGGACTGTTTCAAGGACCTACTGTACAAAAATGTCCTTATTTGGATCGACGACATCTTGGTGTGGGCGAACACCATCGACGAATATGTGAGCGTAATGCGTGCCGTGTTCGACGTATGTATCAAGTTCCGACTGCGTTTGAACCCACACAAGAGCAAGCTACTGTGCAGCGAAATCAAATGGTGCGGCAGAATCATCGACGGCGACGGGGTGCGACAAGACCCCACGAAAATCCAAGCGTTATGCGACATTCCATACCCGACCGATGCAGGTCAGCTGCAGCAATTTATCTGCGCAGTGAACTGGATACGCGACAGTCTGATTGGCTTTGCCCACACGATCGACTCACTCCAAAAACGACTCACTGAAGCGTTGATTGGAAAGAAAAGAAAAAAAAGAATCGCGACATCAATCACGATCGACCTGACCAAAGAAGAACGGAGCAGGTTCGACGCAGTCAAAGAACTGATGCGAAACGCCACTCAATTGTGTCACCCACATGAGGATGCTGAGATGTGCCTGTTCACAGACGCTTCCACCTACGGCTGGTCCATTGTGGTCACCCAAGTCCACAATTACGGCGACGACACCCCGACCCAAGACCAACAACATCAACTCCTCGAATGCCAAAGCGGCATGTTCGACAAAACGCAAGTTAACTGGTCTGTTATCGAAAAAGAAGGCTACCCTATTGCGCGTGCCTGCGACACCGTCAAGTACCTGCTGCTACGACCCAAGGGGTTCCTCATGTATTGTGACCATAAGAACCTCATACGCGACTTCGCACCCCACGACGAGCTCAAGGCACACACGCGCGAGAAGCTGATCCGCTGGGCCGACATGATCAACCATTACCGCTATGTCATCCAGCACATCGACGAAGTGCACAATCTATGGGCCGACCTCATGAGCCGATGGGGCATACCGCAGCCCACAGAAGCGAAAGTACGACGAATTTGGTGGGAAAGCCCGCCGAAATGGCGACACCACTCATTCCGAAGGACGGAATATCGAAAATACGTGCCCGCGTTGGGCAAATGGACAAAGAAGAAACAACCCAAACATGTCTACAAGCCGCCGCCACCCAGCTACGACCGTTGGACGATACCGACTTCGTGTGGTCGGACCTCAACGCTATACGATAGGCCCAGGTTCACTCTACATATACTAAGCCTAACGACCTCGATGACTGCGGGCTCCTCGAAGTCCATGGCCGATTTTGGATCCCCGACGACGCTGACGACGTCGACGACTTATTTACGAGGCTCTGCATCGTCGTGCATTGTTGCAGCATGGGCCACCGAGGACACCAGGCCATGGCAGCCCACATGCGGAAAATATTTTACATCCGCGAGCTTGATGCAAAGCTCACGGCATTGATGAAGACGTGCTTGCTGTGCCCGCACACTAGGGATGGCAGGGTCATTCAACGACCTCAACAGTATGCTTGGCACGCGACGCACCGAAACGAAGGCCTACACTTCGACTTCCTATTTATGGGCAAAGCGTGGCAAGAACCGAAGTACGTCCTGGTCCTTAAAGACGACTTGAGCCACTACTGTCGCCGCATTGCATGCGACAGCCCGACAAGCCAAGTTGCAGTTGAAGCCATCATGGAATGGTCGTCGTTATTTGGAGTCCCAGAAATCTGGATCTCAGACTGCGGAAGCCATTTCAAGAACTCCGTCATGAAGGATCTTGCTACGCGCCTACGAGCACAGCACACATAGTGCCCATGGCGCAACGGGACGGTCGAACGAGTCAACCGCGACATCTTGGGACTCATGCGAATCATGCTGAGAGAAACAAAACTCAAGAAAACAGAATGGGATTATCTGTTACCGGTTTGTGCAAGCCAACATCAACCAAACGCCGGTGGCGACGCTGGACCACACAAGCCCCATGGAATGCTTCACAGGCTTGGAGCCGACCACAGCGCTCAACACCATCGTTATCGAAGACCGGGTTCCACACGATCGACTGGAAACGGAAGGAACTGCGGCAATCTGTGGAGGAACTAAGAAAATCACTACAAGAAGTTCACTCAACAATAGTCGACAAGCGGCGCGCCACCCAAAACAAGCGAATGCTTGAGAAGACCAAAACGAAATGAAGGTCACAGAAGGAGACTTTGTGCTTTGGTCACGCGTGGACGAGAACACACACTACCCCAAGCTACTGGTCACGTGGATTGGCCCTTTCCGAGTCCTCAAGTGCCTGCCCTACTCATGTGTCATAGAACACATGATTACAGGGGTGCAGCGCGAAGCACATCATTCACGACTCAAGTTCTATGCGGAAAGCCACTTTCAGATTACTGAAGGAATTATCGACCTCGTCAGTGAGCAAGGGGCCACGCTGGTTGTTGACCAAATTGACGACGCAAGACACAACCCTGGTTCTAACCAGTGGGTATTACTCATCCGCTGGAAAGACCTAGAGAGCCTCGACGCAAGCTGGGAACAGCTCCCGGCGATGCACCAGGAGATCCTATCTTTGGTGCAGTCGTTTGCCGACCAATAGCCAAACCGCGCTAAACGCGATGGGCTGGTCGAGGCCCTGGAACGGTTGTAGAGTACCATCCTACATATCATTGTTGCGAGTTGACTTACACAAACTAGGTGCCGGACACGGGCATGGGGGGAGTGTTGCGGAAGTATAGGACCAGTTTAGTCAGTTAGTGAGTAGGTCAGTTCTAGTTTTGCCTCCAACTGCTCAACACACCACCAAGCTTTGCCCGGGAGTCCACTGCTCCCCCAACATTGTGTTTGTGTTGAGAAGTTGCACGGAGGCGCAAGTTGCGACACGGTTGAGGACTTCGCAATATAGCGCAGCAGGTAGTCCAGTCATTTGCACGACCTGACGACTGCAAACGCGTCCTTTCCTGCACATAGAGTATGCATCAGTAGAGACCACAGTGGTCGTCCACAATCATTTCCACAACGCACTGTCCATCGCTGCGGCCACACTACAATGTCATCCATCATCGACGCACTCCACCGCCCGCCACCGCCCGCCACCGCCGCCCCAGGTTGCAGAAAGACGATCACCGCTTCACTCGGCGGCGGTGGTGGACGGTGGAGTGCTGGAGTGCGTTCATGATGGAGGGCATTGTAGTGTGGCAGAAGCGGCCGACAGTGGGGTGTGGCAATGGTATTGTAGACGACCACTGTGATGCCCACCATCATCAATGTCCTACACCGAGCGATTCTAACGAGTGTCTCCCGCAGCCTCCGCGATCTCAGTCAAGTGGCTTCCGTAGTTCCACTATGGTGCGGAATCGCCTTCTTACCGGCACTAACGTGGATGCCCCAACGTTAAACTAACTTCGTGTTGCGTCATCTACTTTAGAGACACTTGGGCAACGATAGCGCGCCGCTATCGCATGGCCTAGCTTAGCACTGCAGTAAAACACCCCTCTTAAGCCAAGCTTGCTCGGAAAACCAGCCAAAAGTTACTTTGGCGTCCAATCAAACTGAAGCAAACCCATACGATCCATAAAACCACCTCTAATTAGAACATGGAACTACTAAAAAGAGTGGTACATTTGGTGCTTCGTTTTACTAAAACAAAGCTGGACTCAATCTAATACTACGTGGGCGCATGATTAAAAGAGGGGTTTTAGTCCCAGAATAGCCAAAAGTTATGAAAATACGTAAGTTCTTACTAACGTTATACAGTATATTGTCAAGTCAATTCGAAATTGGAGTGGCGTGCTCAATCGAATGAGCGGCACCAAATCGGCAGACAATCTTGGCAACCTGTACGTATATTGTCAAGTCGATTCGAAATTGGAGTGGGGTGCTGAATCTAATGAGCAGCACCAAATCGGCAGACAATCTATCAACCAATCAAAACCCACAACACTGATCAAGTTCAAATCCAATCTTCGACGAATTCAACGTCGAATTAGTATGTGGCTTAATTAAGAGTGACACTGCATGATTTTTACATACAAAAGTCAGTACAAAGGATGAATCGATAGATTTGGCGAATCAGTATTGTTAACTGTAAGTTGGTTCGTAATTGGAGTCGACTTGGCAAATTGAGAATGAACTAGCCAATCAAAATCCATTCTAAATACCGTATAGTGTATATGTATTGCGACAGGTTGCATAATGCGGCGAAAAGCCAGTGGACGCCTCAAAACTTTTTTAATCCATTGCGTCATACAAATTTGAAGTATATTCAACATATTCCCAAGTAAATATCAGTTATTACAAGAACATTATCAGTTATTACAGGTTTCGCAATAGATTAATCCGTCACAATACATATACAATATACGGTACCTACCACCTTTACAACCAATCAATACGTTTTCTAAACCTGCCCCCGTTACAGATGAACTCACTGTAGTATAGTGAATATAAGATACTTCGAAGTGTATTGCCAAGTTCATTCAAAAACGGTTTCACTTTTGGACTGAACAGTCCAAGAAGAACAATACTAGTAGTACTAGTTCTACAGTAATAGAATAAACACAACTAACGTTACTTACTTGCGCGAATCAGAATTTTAAGTACTCCAATAAAAATATTTTTTTCAACCCTCTTTTGCATGAATTGGCAACTCGTAGAACTAGTTAACGTTATCGTTAAGACTTGTAAGGTATGTATGGAATGATCGTGTTCATAATCGCACATTATTAGCATAAGAGATAGAGTGACAGCATTGATTTTCATTCGAGCTTTGCTGCAAAAATGAGCCTGTGTCTTTGGCCATGGTAACAAGGTCCTCCCTCTGTTTGGCCGTCAAGAACGGGGATCGTGATGGCCAAATAGAGGTTGTCGTGGTCGGGAGCAAGCTCTCCGCGCGACGTCCATGCCTTGGCATAGGGTAATTATTTGGCAGTCCTCGATGGCTTGGTGCGCAGCGGCGGGGAGTACTGTACAGTATACTGTGGTGTACTGCCCTGAGCTACAACTCCAGACAAGCGTCCTGTATCACTGGACATCCCCGTGCTTGTGCACTATCCTAACAGTAGGTGGTAGTCTTGACTACCTCTACGATTTCGCACTTGCTAGAAGTCTCTATTTTGCAGAAATTACAGGCTTCAGATGTCGCGCAAAACTTGGTGCACTTGAACTGACCGGTGAGTTGTGCCGGCGTCACGACATGTACGACAGCAGCCGCTGCTTGTGGTCTGCGAACCATTCGCCCGCTTCGGCTTCGGACGTAAAATGCTCTCGATCAAACAACACGGCGATGATTTGTTCTTCGCGTGTGTCGTCGCGTCGGCCCATTTGCAGCGACACGCCATCATGTCTGGCGTACTTGTCCTTCTTTCGATACACGCTGGTCAAGTCGAATTGCGCCGGGTCTTGCAGTTGATACCGTGCTTTGGTCTCGCTCGACCTGGGGTCGAATTGGAACGGTGGCTCTTTCTCTGGCGGCGACTCATTTGTTGCCTTGATGATCGTGCCTAGACTCTCCAGGGCCTTGGCAATCAAGTCAACATTGGTGGAGTCCTCGACGGTTGTGGGATGGCATGTTAATGGCGCGGATTGTTTTGTTGCTTTGGTCGGCGGCATGGGGGTAGCGGCGGACGACGCAGACAGTTCCGCCTTGACCGAATCAAGAAGGGACGAGGTGGTCTTGAGGGGTAATTTTTGAGTCCCAGGCTGCTTGCGATGTCTGTCGGCAGATTTCGATCGAGGTTGTTTAGTGGGTTCTAAAGGTGCTGGCGTCGTCGAGGGTTGGGGGACTGCTGTTTGGGTCAACGATCTCGTAGACTTCTTGAGCGTGGGCTGGAACGTCAGCTCCTTGTCGGCCTCGTCTTGCTGTCGTTGTTTCTCGGCTGCTGTCTTTTCAGCTTTTTTTCGCAGCCATTCTTGCTGGCGATCCATCATGGACATTTGAGACAGGGACTTCTTTTCAAGCATGTGGGGGTGCTTCTGCTCTTCCTGCTGGTTGAGGATAGAGGTGACGGTGACACTTTCAACGACGGGGGCCTTGCCTTTGGTCGCTCGGAGCTTGCCCCTCAATGGACTTAAGACTTCTTCCGTTGCGTTGAAAGTGAGTTGTCGATCGTCAGAGTCCTGTGACGCCAGCGCGTCGCCTTCGTTGTTGCAGGGCTGGTCATCCCCTGGCTCTACCTCCACAGGGCCAGCTAACGTTGCTGCTAATGTGCCCGTGAACTTGGTGCACACCCCAGGGATGCCATGAAGCTCCGCCACTACGTTGACAGCAGTATGTATCGTGCTTGAGTGTTTTAGCAAACGAAGAAGCCTAACTACGTACTGTACCTATGTGGTTCCATGCCTTGACCCGTATATGACTGTGCTGGTCGCCTCGGGCTATTTGCTGGGTAATCGTCTGCAAGTGGAGTATTTCATATTCTGAAGGACAAAAGTGGCCACTCTTTGCACCTCAATTGTGCCGTCGTCAGGTACGCCGATTCGAAGGGGGTTCGCACGCAGCCACTCCTGCACCACCTTGATCCGGGACTCCCACCACAGGCTGTCGTTTTCTAGGTCTGCAGTCTGCTCTTGAACAAACTCTGCCTAATCATGGCCATCAGTCAAAGTTTAGTATATGCCATCATATCGTTCAACTTACCATTTGCTTGACGATGGTGCCTGTGCGCCGATACGTCGTGAACATGGCTGCGCTCGATGCACTTTTGACGGCAGTTACATTTAGCAGTTTCGTAGACTCGACCTTTCTGCTTCAACGTGAACATCGTCTAAAGCTCTAGCATCTACAGTACTACATGTTATGCGACGATTCCTCACAAAAACAACATGTTCTTGAGCGTAACATCAACTATGCACCTTTGTTCGCACCAACATTCGTTTCCACGGGAATGCCAACGTGGCGCGGATATGTCGCAAGGCGAAACCGATACGATAAATGATCTGCCTTATTTATCATGTTTCGTCGAAGTACGGTAAGATTTATCGATACCTCCCTCAGTTGTTAACGTTTCAGTCGAAATAGAAAATGAATCTTACAGCTACATCACGTAGAATAAATGAACACGGAAAGGTCAAGCGCCACCATTCTACAGGCTCTTGCCTTCAGTAAACAACTTCTAAACCATGCACCGAGGAGGAGATTCGCCTCGCATATGTTTGTCCCTGGGCGTGCCTGCAAAGCCGACATTATAACACCCACCACACTGCTGCAGTCCTTTTGGCCATGGCAAAGACATGGATCACCGCGTTCTTCCTGTCGCTCTTGACGACGTGTGATGCTGCCACTGGTAATTAATCCCCTCCTGTTGTTGTGGTTGTCCTCGACTGAAACGAGATGTGGCACTGTAGTCACAAGTTGCAAGGCGAGCAGCGCGACGTCGTGGAGCACTGGCATTGAATGCAGCATGCAGCTAGACGTCGTTCAACCGTCCGAGACCAACAACCCGACAGTGTTTCGATGGACCATCCGAAGTGTGTATGGCGACCCCATCGTGTTGGCCAAGGTTATGGCGTCCGTGTGTGATACGGCCAAGTATCCATGCATCTTTGGCTCGCAAGACTTCGTACCTGCGACAACGTCGGCGGCGGAGGCTGAAAACGCCACGTTTGCCCAGGGCACGGCCACTGTCTCCTTCCCCACCTCGTCAACGTACGTCATCGCAGTCAGCGCAGTCGTGGGGAGCAGCGCGCAGCAGTTTTTAACCACTTTGCCGGTGTATATTTCACTTCCAATGGACGCCACGACGAAGACTACAGAGTTGCCCACAGCAAGCTATCTGCCACCTTCAATGACGCCACTCGCTCCACCTATAGAAGCTACACCGAAAACCATCTCAACCACCTCGACCGTCCTGATCATTGTAGGTGTGGTCCTCGCCGTGGTCGTTGGCACGGTGTTTGCGATCTTGTTTTACAAGTTGCGCAAAGCCAGGGCCAGTATGTCGTCGTCACAACAATCAAGTGCTACCAGCACCAGCCAACAAATTGAACTCGACACCATGCCGACAACAGCCGCAGCAGAACCGTTCCGTCGAGTGCATCTAGCGACCACATTCAACTCCACGTCGTCCAGCGTTGTTGGAGGCCCATCGGCGTCCTATGCATCAGCAGCAAACCATCGCGCCGCTGCTGATCACGTGTCCATGACCAACTCCACGCCCCCCTGCCCCCACGATCGACCCACAAGGGAGCGCAGTCACAACGAACACTCAAGTTATGTTAAAGTGACCGACGAGGGTATCCCCCCAAGCAGCGTGCACCACCCGACATATGGACCAGCCCCAAACCGACGATAAATCGTCAAATAGGTTTTAAGTTTGGTCAATGGATGCACCAGGATAGCAGTAGCTCCGAGGATTGGAATTGATTCTTAGCGTAGAAGTACTGCAGTACATGTGAGCGCATATATATACAACCTTCTTGGGGTAAACAAAATAAGATTGCCCGTACAGTTAGCTAACTAGGACATTGTTTCCGGTCGAACGCCAATTGGAAAAACGGTCGCTTTGCACTTTGTGGCAGTATGTTAGCATTATATTTGTAGTCGTAGGTGTCCCTTACTAACTAGTACATATACAGTAGACTAACATGATTGTACTGTACATATATAGTATACTAACATGATACTACAGTAGTATATACTGTATATAGTAGACTTAACATGATAGTACATGTAGTAGACTTAACATGATAGTACATACTAGTATATAGTAGACTAACATGAGGTTAAGATACGTTATAGGAACGGCATATTTGGCTGCTTGTCGTCGACCTTGTTGAGGAGCACTTCCAGGCGCCGCGCCTCGGTTACGTTGCCCGACTTGTAGTGCAGTTGCATTTGGGTGCGCAGCTTCTCTTGGTTGCGCATGCCCTCGATCTTCTCTTTGCTCATCGTCTGCATGATCAATCCAAAGTCCTTCTGGCCGGCTTCGATCCTCTGGCGCAGTCGTTCGCGGCGCATGGCTTCTTCGTCCCCGGGCGCGTCGTCATGCTTGCGCTTGTTGTCCTTGGACGCCTTCTTGTGATGTTTTCGCATCTCGTACTTTTCCACGTCGTAGTACTTTTCGTGCGGAAATGTCGCCGTGTTGTAGTCCTCCATGTACTCCTTGAACAGCTCCATGGCCTCCCATTTGGGTCCGTTGAAGTCGTTGATCTATCAGCAACACACGGATGACGTCATGCACGGCTGGATACATATACCTTCTTGATGTCGCGCAGCCACACGTTGAACGACACGGCCTTGAGATGGAAGTCGGACTCGCGCAGGATGCCGTACTTGCCGTACTCGTTCTGGTTGACCGCATTTGACTTCTTGGATGATTTCTTGGATGACTTTTTGTCCTTCTTGGCCTTCTTCTCCTTGTGCTTCTTGCTGGATTTGTACTTTTTTGATCTGTGGTCGGAGTCACTGCTGCCGCTGTCGTCGCTGTCCGACGAGTCATGTCTTCGTGCCTTGGAGCTGCTCTTCTTCTTGTGCTTCATCTCCTTCTTGTCTGACCTGCGTGGTCGTCGAGCCGAGTCGGAGTCGTCGGACCCAGAACTACTGGCGTCGTGCCTGCTTGGGTTGGATGACATGAGGTTGCTGCGTCCCACCACCGAGTTGAGCTAAATTAAACCATAGTTTTACGCAATATCTCACCACTGAATATCGCACCGCCAATACCCCTTCATGCCAACCACCTTCACGCACCCATGTGCCGCGAGGCAACGTCCATACAGCTCGAATGAAGAAGAGATTAGCATTCCATAACATGTGGAGTGCATGAGAAGGTTGGCTGGGGTGCTGCTCGCGCTGAAGTCAATTTCGTAGTCGCAGTTACGAGCGGCACTATGGTGAGTTATTTGCTTTTATCCGGACTGGACAACCCTCGTTCAGGCGGCAAACAATAATGGTTGATGCCAGGCAAGTGTTCCGCGAGCTCAAGCTGCATGGACTGACGCTGCATTCGGACGCGCTGAAGCGGCTTCTGTCCGAACTGACGAACCAGCCGACGCTTCATCTGGACGACGTGGTGTTTGCCATCAAGAACAGCATCGATCGAAGCAAGCGTACGTAGATGTGGATCGCATGATCGTGGAAGGGTTTCTGACATCGCTGTCGACAGTGAAATCCAGCGTTGTGTCGCAAGATGCGCTCGAAAGTGCCTTGGACACGTTGCTGAATGTGTCGTCAGACAACGACTACCAGTGCATCCAAGTGTTCAACGCGTTCGACCAGCCCAAGCTGATCTTTCATCCGTCGACCAAAACGTACGAAGTGTCGGCCGACCCCACGCGGAAGCTCCACGCGAGCTCTGCCCACCGCCTATCCCTCTTTCGAGAGCGGTACGCACGAACCCACCACATCATCATTCGATCGTCGTCCCATGTAGATTTTCGGCGTTGGAACGGCGCGTCCTCAGGCACAAGTCGTTTTCCAAGCCAGTGGCGGCAACCTCCTCCTCTTCACGCGTCGAAAGCTTCCAGGAGGTTCGTACTACTAGCGATCCACTACCTCTCTCTCTCACACACACAGAGCAGATCAGTCGAATCGAATCACTCTTGGGGGTCACAGGCATGAAGCGCGTGCTGGGCATGCTCGGCCAGGACGAACGCCAGCAGGTGTACCTAGAGGACATGACATCGCGCATCTACCTAGACATTTCTGAAGCGGTAACGCCATGTAAGAAGATATATTATGAATTTACGCGTACCTTGTAGAAATACACCAACGGCATATTCACTAGCACGTGCATTGTGCTCGTGGAGGGTCAAGTACTGGACGATGTGTTTCACGTGGAGGTTGATATATATATAAATATATATCATTCATACCCAAATATATATATTTATATTTTTGTAGACTATCGGGTCGCCGCCGCCAGAACTCCGCGAACATTCCGTCCAAATTCTATCTGGCGTTGATCCATTGGGAGTGGAAATCTCGGCCCAGGTCGGCAAATCTAATACTTGAAGTATATTATGTTTCATATATATATATATATATATATTCATGCCCGGATCGTTTATCCTTTTAATAGCAACTCACCCAAATCCAACAACTCGAACGCAACCAGGAGCTCGATTGCTTTGTCGTGCTGTCGGACGTCCATCTGGACGAACCCGCCGTGATGGCGCGCCTGGATGCGCTGTTCAGCGGATACGAACCATTCACCCCCACGCTGTTCATCTTGATGGGCAACTTCACGTCCTCCCCCGTCGGCTACGGCTACGGTACGCCTGCAAGTGTTGATTTCATTTACTTTATAATGAACTCTATTTACAGGCGCCGAGTCCAAGACCATTCGCACGCTCAAGCAGCACTTCGACGACCTCGCGACGCTCCTGCTCAAGTACCCGGCGCTGGTGGAGAAGTCGCAGTTTCTATTTGTGCCGGGGCCGGACGACCCTGGCGCGCCCCACGTGCTGCCGCGCCATCCGGTGTGTGTGTTTCATCTATTATTTATTGGTGTGTGTTTCATCTATTATTTATTTACCTAGTTTTGCTCATTTATCGAATTTGAGAGTTCACAATGTGTGTGTACTGACTGTAGCTGCCCACCATGTGCACGGACGACTTTGTGCGCAGAATTCCGTCGGCGATCATGACAAGCAACCCGTGCAGGTAGAGGAAATAGTATATGACTCGTTGGTTGAATATTTATGTAAAGTAGTATTATTATATAATATTTTAATATTCTATTACGACGATAGAATTCGATATTACACCAAGGACTTGATCGTGTGCCGCGACGACTTGCAGCACAAGATGACCAAACACAGCTTGTTCCGTCTGCCAACACACGACGGGCCCTCGGACGATGTGTCGAGACATGTAATATTTGTTGATATATATATATATATATATATATTCGTTATGGAATTCTTTATATTAGCTGGTGAAAACGCTGGTGGACCAAGGCCACTTGTGCCCGTTGCCGATTGCTGCGAGGCCCATTCATTGGGCATACGACTCGGCCCTGCAAATGTTTCCTCTGCCTGATGTGGTATGTTTCGATTCGAGTGTATTGAAACTGGCATTTTTCACACAAAGGGAACTTAGCTCATCTTGGCGGACAAGTGCAAGCAGTTCCAAGTCAACTACGCAGGTGTGTCGGTGTTTCATCCGGGGCCGTTCCATGTCGACTACTCGTTTGTGCTGTACCGCCCAGCGTCCAACACTGCCGAAGTCAGCCGCGTCGATATAGATTAACTCACCGAACGACCAGTGCCAACAAAAATCCACTTGAAATGATTCGCGTTTCTTCCTATGCACCATACACACACCAGCCTTTGGTTGGCACGTGTTGGCATCCCAACCGCAACGATATAATTCATCATCGACGTCGTCTGCATTCCCACCACGTCAGTGAAACATTTTGTCTTGTGCGCATAACTGGTGGTTTAGCTTCTACGGAACAAGCAGTGTTGTTGGCCATACTGTCGATACATACACCACCCACCACCCACCCTAGTACTGTAGTCGATCCAAATCATACCTTTTGATTCGCCTCGGTAAAGTACTTGTGCAATTTCAGCCTCCAGTCGCATAGGTTTGGCTGGTGGGCACAGGACGGTACGTTCAAGAACGAGTCAAACAGGTCCTGCCACAGCTCGACATGCCAGTACCGTTTCCACCGTCGCGTGATCGTCCACTTGTCGTCCATCTTGACGCACTCCATGTACTCGCCAAACAAGAGCAGGTGGATCGTCGCACACAGGCCGAACGTGTCGATTTGGTGCGTCCATTGGGTCTTGGTCAGCATCTCCACGCACTGGAACCCCGACGCGTGGCAGTCGCCGCAGAACGCCGTGTCCGGTGGGTACAGTTGGAGGTCGATTGCCCGACCAAAATCGATCAAACACACGGCGCCAGTGGCGAACGTGGTCGCGTGATTCCACGGGGAACGTCCGTCCACAACGATCCAGTTGTCGGGCTTGATATCTCCGTGGACAAAGTTGGCCCCGTGCACACGCTGCACGGCGTCCAACATTTGGCACGCATAATGGACGACCACGGGTTCTGGCATCCGACGGCCAAACTGAACACGGGCACAAAATACGCAACGTCGTTCGTTGCAAACAAACAGACCAACCATTGTTGTGTGTACCACGTACCTGGGCATACAGGTTGACCAGGCCATGCAGCGTTCCTTTGTCCCCTCGCTGCAGGAACAACAGCGTGGAATTCTACACAAATACATGGATTTAGTGCCCATGAATGGAGAACGAGGGGCGTTTGTCAGCGTCTTACTTTGAACACGTGGAGCGCGTACACTTGAACAATTCGACGGTCGACGACGGAAGAGCCGTGTTCGTTTGTCGTGTTCTGCCTGGCGTTGATTTCACTGATGCAATAACACTCCCATGGCAAGTACCCGACCCTCGTTTCGTGCTTTGGGTTGATCATATTTATCGTGAAATGTAATCATGTTTTAGCAAGAAAATACATGAATACCTTGACTGCGAGTTCCACCGGCGTTTTTGATGCATCGCTTTCAAACAATTGCGCCGCGTACACAGACGCGTACGACCCCGACCCCAAATGCCCCGTGAGTTTGCAAGAGGAGGCCCGGCACAGATGAATGACGGCCTGGGGCTTCCATTTGGCCCCACGTTTTCCCCCCATGGGAAGGTGGGCGTCAAACGTTGTGTCGTGGACAAATACTAGGTCAGACATGCTGCACAAGGACAACGCCACGTGCTCGGACTGGACTATGGTGTAGCGATGTGCGGGATTGTAAGGGTCTAGACTGACTCGTGTCCCACAAGAAGGGGGCGACTTTGACATACTATGTATCGTCAGCAACGTGATGATGGAACTCCATGCAAACAAAGCACCAGAACGACGTAGACTGCATTATTATGGTCAACTTAATTCGAAATCACCACTCGAACACCGCTTTACCTTTGACGGAAGCTGAATCCGAGGACATCTTTGTACGTACGACGCGCCGACTTGGCAGCGGACGGATCATCACGATTGGACAGCGTCGTCGTGGGATGCTCGGGGGTCGTGGCATTCTCTTCTGCGTTCGGCTTGAATCGGGCTGGCGTTTTCGCTGCCACATGATCAGTCGAGTCGCCGTCGTCCGCGACGCAAAATGAGCTGAATTGTAGCTTTCGGATGATGGGCTCTTCCGTCAGTGGAATGCGCACGGACGATTGGCTGGGGGGTCGCTTCGTCGGGCTTCGAAACATGTCGTTGATGTCGTCCATGGCAATTTTGGTGGTGATCGTGATGTCTTGGACGGCTGCTTGTTGGATAGGGTCGCTGGTGGTTGTTGGCAGGGCTTTGGAAATGAAATCGGACGCGTTGACAAGGAACGCACTAGGGGCGACTTTGACCACGAGCTGCTGCATGGCGCGACGTTCTTCAAAGCAAAATTCTTCGCCACTGGCATCGTGCAGCGCGCTCTCGTTGAAGCGGAACACGTCACGGGGCTTGGTGTTATCTCGGGGGTGGTTGACCTCGAGCGACGAATGGGGACGCTTGCGACTTGACGAACTCGGGGGATGGACGGCATCTTCGAAAATGGCCGCAGACACTTTGGGGGAAGGATGACGAGCAGTGGCACTGACGGAGCCTCCAATTCTGCCACCGCTGGCTGGCGCTTTCGACGCGCTGGTTCGAAAAACAATCGCGTCGGGGCGCGGAATAATCGGGGTGTTGGGCTCGGTATATACAGTAAACGCGACTTCAGGGGATTTGACGCGGATGGTGTTAGTGAGGTTTTCAAGCGGAACGGAAGTCGACGGATGCATGCGTGGTGGACGTAGAGCGGCTCGACCAGGTGGCTGCGTCGTGCGCGTTGATTGTCCCTGCTGACTGCTCGTTTCGTCGCTGTCCTCGGGGGGCTTAGTCCATGTTTGGCTGACTCTGCGATTGAACTCGTCGTACTTTTTGCGCAACGTGTCTCGCGGCTCTGCGTTTCTACCGGTAGTCGAACCCAACCTCTGTGAGTACATTGGTTTTCATCGTACACATGTATCATTCCTCACGTACTTGACAAAGCCCCGATTGAAAATCGTCTCGGCGTCCTTGATCTTGCCGCACTTTTCGCACAGAAATGCCCACGCGATGTAGAACAAGGCCAGTTTGTCTCCAATTTTGTTCTTGTACAGGAACGTAAACACGTCGAGAGGCTTTTCGACTTTATCCGCCTACAAATGAGGTTGGTACACGTCGCCACGAGCGGTACATGAGGAGATGGCTTACGTAAGTGACCCAGAGCTTCATGTATCGGACATCGTTTCGGTACTTTTTTATGCCCTTGAATTCATGCGTGATTTGCTCCAACACAGACGAGTTCTTCTTCATGTCGGACGGAAAGCACTCCTGAACCCATTTGTAGTACTCCAGCCAGCTTGTAAGAGGATCGTCGCCGGTGTACGCAGCTATGTGGTCCTGTAGCTCTCTACAAGACATGATAAACACGAGCGAACACACGTAGATCATCAGCGTACCTTTCTTTGAGCTGCAGCGTCGAATGATGGCTCGACGAGTGGACTTCCGCGAGAGCCACATTCAGCTTGTCCACATTTCGTCCACAGTGCACTGGGGCGACGTTCTCCTTGGACAGTTCCCATGCAAATGCTTCATCCTCCGCCATGGCTTGCATGTACCTTCCGCACTCCTTTCGTCGCTAGGATTTGTCTCTGACATTCAAAATTTGAACCCCGTATCCGTACAAAGCTGGGTGATTATCCGGATCAATATGTTTACTAATCAGTACTCAGACGTTATGGAGCGCGGGCTCGAACCCATCGATTATGGACTCAACGTCTCGGCGATGCTGCATGGAGCGACCGACGGTGCCGGAGCAGGTGAAGCGAAGAGTAATGACCCCAGCGAGGCAGCTGCCGAACTCAATCTTGGGGGACACATGTTCGAATCGGACATGGCATCATGCAATGATGGCAACGTTGTTCGTGACAGACCCGACGTTGCTGAGCCCAGTGCAGTTCCTCGGGAGGACGTGCTGACAAGCTATCCATCCACAAGTATTGCAGTTCATCCGTCGCATTCTGCTGTTGCACCACCCCAACTACCGGTAAACGTTGACACCAATGGAGTAGCATTGCCAGGCTTCGTGTCGCGACTTGAGAAGCGAACCAAGCTGCTGGGACATCCCATGGTGTTGGCTGTGTCGACAAACGGCCGCGAAGTGACATGCAAATGTGGCCGTATCGTTCGATTGAACCCACCTTGGTACATCCTCAAGTATGACCAGCATACGAAGAGCAGGAATTGCGTCAGGCCCATGGGCATTCTAGCGCCGAATCATGATCCAGCCATCGATGTGACCGACATCCTGGACGTCGACGCTATGCTAGCAGGGGATGAAAGGGGGGATGGCGGACGGAACGAAGTCGATGCATCGGCTATCAGCACGCCTTTGAACTGCGTGAGAAGGCTCAAAGCACACCCAAACTTCGACTGCGTGGCTCGTGGTGGCCACTGGGTGCGAGGACTGTGCAGGTGCATAGTGCACCTGGAATCTCCATGGCATGTCAATACCTTCGTGGCCCACGATGCATCGTGCACGGGCTTGAAGAAACGAAAGGCCAAGGTCAAGGCGGCGGCGGCGGCAGCGTCCAAAGATCCAAGCCAGACGGCGGACGAAGTGCTCCCGTGTCCCGGTCTTCGGGGCCCCGACGTGGTCGAGTACATCACGTCCGCGGTGCAGCTGACCGGAGGCAGCCGCCCCAAGTTCAAGGTTGCGCGGGCTTTGTTTCCAACCTTGTTTTCAACCTCCAAATGCAACCTCCACTCGATGTTGTGTCCGTTCGAGAACAAGTGGCTGCATGACACGCTGGCACAGGAAGCACTGTGGTGGGTCGACAAGGATGCGGCCACCGTGCGCAGCTTCCGGTGCACGCGGGCAGCGCGTATGCAGCACCCAGCGCGGCTGCCATGCTCGAGTTGCGCCAGTCTGCGCGGCATGGCGTCGTTCCGCACGGCGCTGGCGTCCCGGGCTACATTATCATCATCGTCTCGCAATCAAAAGTTTACGCCTCGCACGAGTGTTCCACCCAGTGTGTTCAACTTGAACCTGTCTGCCACGTGTCCATCCCATGCCAAGTACGGCCGAGAGCTGCGTCAGCTGGTGGCATGTTACAAGCATGACGTGGCCAATCCCCACTACTACTGGCTGCCCGTGGCTGAGATGGGCATGGCGCTCGACTTGAACGACAGCCCGGTCGTATTGGGGCTGCTGCAGTACCTCGTCGCGCTCAAGGACAAGGAGCGCCGCGGCGTCGGAAAGCAAAACATGCCGTACGCGCCGAGTCTGGACGCGTTCGTCGCGCGCTTGGCCGATATCTCTGTCCACGCCAGCGACTTGTTTCAGCAGCACTTTTGCGGCCGGTCCAAACGGCTGGCCAAGAAGGCGGCCCCAATCATGGCCTTGTTGGCGGCGGCGTCGACGGACAACGACCCCCCGCCTGACCATCCACTAAATATCATCCAGCATCCTGATACTATCGTGGAAAGTTCCGTGGTTCAATCGAATTTGACGCAAATAGCGTGCAACGAGCGAGAGATGGCGTGGAAAGAGCATGCAAGCCAGCACCCGAACGAGAAGATTCCGTGTCCTGGGCTATCTGCCCCGTCGTACGTCGAGTACTCGCTCCAACTCACAGGCGGCAGCCGTCCTCGGCATGTGCTTGCCCGGGAGCTGTTTCCCACCACGTTTGGCGAAGGAAAAGGGGTGAAAAATATAGCGGGGTTGCTGTCGGTGGCGGACCAGCAGCTCCTCCTCGATGCCGTCCACCGCGAAGCCGTGTGGCGGATCGACAAGACTAGTCGGTGCGTCCGCAGCATGCAGTGCCTAGGCACGTGCGTTCGCCGCGTCGACGCGTGTGCCAACTGCATGCTGCTCCACCGGAACGCGAGCTTCCGGTCCGCCGTGAGCCGCGCACGCAAGCAGTCGCGGACGCAGGCCAACATCCGATTCATCCCCAACCAGTACATGACTGCCGAGATGCTCAAAGTGTCCAAGAACCCCACGCTGCGCATGTTTGCGCTCAACGCCAAGGCCAACGTCGAGTCGAATCCGGACGCGAGTTTCTGGCTCCAAGTGGCGCGACTCGGCATCTCGGGCGCATTTCGCGACTTCCCCGTGGTCGAAGGCGTCGTGGAGAGCCTGCTTCATGTCAAGGACAAGCAGCGGCGCGGCGCCGGCAACCAAAACATGTTTTACCCCGTGGCGTTGGAGACTTTTATGAAACACTTGGTCGCGATCTCCCCCAAGGCACTCGAGTTGTTTGCAGACGCGGTCGTGGGTGGCCACTCGGTGCGCGCGCACATCCTGGCCAAGAAACGAAAGCTCGCGGCGGCGGAACAGTCCCCCCCGCCGCTCGTGTTTCACGACATCCCCATGCCCGCCATGTTGATGTACGACACACATCATCCACACGACCGACTGCTAGACGACGGGTTCCACGACGCGGCCGCGTTTGGCCAAGAGTTGTTAACCGGAGACCCTGACTTGGGTACCAGTGAAGTGATGCAGTTATAACAAAAGGAGCATGTGTTGTTATCATCATTAAGAGTGAACGAGGGTGCATACCCGCCTTGGAAAATCACGCTCGTTCCAGTGTATTTACTGCCCAGTATGTCCACGCCGTCCGCAAGGGCTGTCTCCATCCAGGCGATGCCAGCGCATCTGCTTTGGGGCAAAGATGAACGTTGCGTTATCGGGAGTGTGGTCGTTCTGGTCTACTTGGGCCCCAAATACCAGCAACTTTGGTCCGATGGGAGTCACGGAATGACCTCGGCGACTGGTGAGAACATCGTCGCCTTGGAGAGGCGGTCGGGACCAAGTGCAAGAGTTTTGGAGCACGTTGATCTGCACGTGATGTACATCGTACAGGCCCTTGGATTCGCCAACCTGATGTAGTAAAGTTGTATGCGAGCAAGGCGGAATGTATGAATGTACCTGTTTCCCGCCATAAACGAGGTACGAGCATGTGGATAACCTGTCAACATGTATCAACTTGTATGAAAATGGCATGGATATTGATTGACATGCAATGAGAAAATAGGTAAGTTAGTACCGATACATCGAATGAAACGAACGTCCGCGGGGACAATAGCTGGCACAAGTTGGTGTGGACCATCGAAACGAGCAAAACCCTGTCAAAACGTACGTCACGAGGGCTAGCTATCTCTACCAGTAGACGTCACACCTTGGTCATCGATATGTAGCAAGTGGACTTGAAATTCGGATATCGGCGTCGCCCCGTGACTTCCACCCGAAATGGCTACAACCTCTCGTGTAATGAGCGTTGTTAGATGGCCACTTCGAGGCAATGGGGCTTGGCCGGATATCTCTGGTTCAAACCACGTCGGACCCATTCGAAGGGTGCCGACAGCTGCTTCTACGGGCCTGCCATCATCCAGAGGCCCGTGCTGGATGAGGCAGATGTGCACATCGTTGAACGACTGGAAGGGAAATCTCTCTGCGTGTCCACCAAAGACGAGCAGTCTCTTGATGCCATGCACATTTGGAAGGTATGTGACAGAGTGGTGTCGTCGAGGGGAAGGCTCCTCTCCTCTGGCTTTCAAGTTTGTCCACCCGTTGAAATGGAGCGTCGCGTCCACGTCGGCTACTGTACTTGTAGTACTATCCAAGGCAAGGGTTATCTCGGACAGTGCCAGGGCCCATACTTCAAAGCGATAATGGCCCCCACACCTGTCATAAACGTTAAGGAATATTCTCCACACATCTGTCAGGGGGCAGACCGTGTTAGATGATGTGTAGCCCCATCGACGGCATATTCAAATCGATCGATGCCGAGCTTGGACAGGGAAGTCGACACCGTGGGGGACCAAGGCACCCACTTAAAACCATTCAGGCAAGCAAACTTGCGATACAAGGCAGCCCATGTCTAGTATCGCGGACTTGAATGCATTGAACATATCAACATACTTTCGAACAACTTCAAAGTCTTTGGTAAATATAACGTACGGGTGGGACTGGGCTTTGCAAGCGGTACGTAGCTAGCAACACAGGCAAGTACTCGACGACACACAACAGTTTGCACTTATCTTCGAGAGTTGGCCGAGCAAGGCCGTGGAATTTGCGGCTCACGCGCATGAGCATTGCAACGTCCTCGATGGCCAACGACTCAATGATGCGACCGATGAGTCCATCGCCTAGACGCCGAAGGGACATTCGGCCAAGTCGTGCATCTATTTTTGGCACCCACAACATGCAGTCAGTCCGCCACAAAGGCGAATATAGAGCGCGTACAGTACTTGTGTTGCAGGCATATTGACAGCAAGCCGCCCGATAGTGCGTTCATTGTACACTTGGCCGAGCGACTGTTTCGTGCTTCAACACACTTGTGCAAGGGTCTCGTCGAGTTGACCATGGGCCGCATAACGTTACACGAACATACTTTGGGCCTCTCCGCCTTTTCAGCTGAAGGCCTCAATGCGATGTCGATCACGGAGACTTACAGAAACACATCAAGCATGTGCCAACTCAATCTTCAGCAAGGCATGATTGCGCTTAGCCGAAGAAAGATCGGTGCCCTAGAGTTTTGAAGCGATACGACTGTATTCCGATTGGAATATCAGGTTGACCAGGTTTTCTCCTAACTGTAGCATCCCCGTCGAATCAATATTCTGTCGACATCACAGTGCACTTTCAGCTTTTCCCTTTCGATGGAGCACTCGCCTCTCACGAGAACATCGCCGATTCAAACTGCCACCCAAGCAGCAACAACCATTGGCACGGCACTGGGTCATCTCCAAGCTGAAATGGCAGTGATGTAATCGAAAGTAGGCGACTGGGCGAAGATGGAGCTCCGCATTCAACAAAATATGGCCCGGGCTCCCACCATTGTAACGTTGGACGTGGGCGGTACGATTTTCAAGACCTCCAAAGACACGTTGGTGCGCGTGAAAGGCAGCTACTTTCACGTGCTGCTCGGGTCTGGACTGTGGACCCCCGACAGTGGCGGTGACGCGTACTTCTTGGACCTGGACCCGACGCTCTTTCGTTGCGCGCTCATGTTCATGCGCACGGGCACGACCATGTCGACGGACGGATTGACGACAATTGAACGGCATGAGTTCCATGCCATGATGGAGTATTTGAACTTGACCGAAGCGCCGACACAGTTGTTCGAATGGAATCCCAACACACACGCTAAGGAGATGGCCTTGTCAAATGCGAATCGCACGGTGGAGCGAATGTCGTTAAACAACGGCTACTTCAAGGCCGCCGTAGCCAACGCGGCCCTGGTGGACCGCATTCGAGTGCGCGTGGATGTTTGCAGTGGGAGTTTTGGGGTCGGTGTTGGCCCTGCGGCGGGGTTTGATGTGTCGACGAGCAAATCAACAACCCAATGCTACCGCTATTGGTCGCACGGCGAAGTGTTCAAAAAAGGCCCCGAAGCAATCGTTACGCTTGCAAAAATCCAAGCCGGCGACGTCGTGACCATTCGCCTGGCTCCGTCGCATGTTGAATTCGCACTCAACGATGGACCTCCAGTGAACCTTGCGCTGGAGGACCCGACCGAGGAATCATTGTTTCCTTTGGTTTTCATGTCCGAACTAGGAACCAAACTTACTATTCTTTACTAGTCAAGCATGTACTGGTAGGTAGGTAGGCTGCACTGTTGATTCGCATGATCAACAGGTTGTACCAATGCTCCTACTAACGTTACGTAAGTACTTGACTCAGAATGGAGCAATTTAGTACACACACTGTACTACTATGCAGTTGTAATACTAGTAAACTACTAGTACTACTAGAATACGAGTATGTCACCAGAGTTTTTTAAATCTGAAAAAGACCGCCAAATCAACATGGCGAAGGAGTCGCAAGGAACGGACGCCGACAACTCCATGCGCGATGCATCCGTCCATGCGTCAGAACAGGTGAGCAGACCACATCAGATTGCTCTCATACACGTTGAAGCAGTCGCACTCCAGACTCACAGCACTTCTCCACGCCGTGGATCGACCCGCGGACGATTCATTGGGCGCGGATCAAGAGGAGTTCATCAGGCTACTATCCGATGAGGCCTCCCCGACCTCGTCACTACACCATGAAGTCTTGCAGTGCATTTCTGCGCTCTTTACACGAGCCAAACGTGACTTTTCCCGGGACATGTTCCACCTTCCCCCAGGACACTTCACGTTTCAGTCCTTTTCGACCGGCTGCTCGTACTTGTACACCCACGCAGCGTCCGTCAACGCTGCACCCCTGACCAGTCCAATGGTCATGGAAGTTCGTCGAATCGTCCACACGTTGCTGGGATTCCAGCCGTGCTTTCGAACCACTGATGGGACCATGAACCTCCACGTCCTTGTCACCGCATGGAAAGTACGTATACACACATGCATGATCACGTTGATGCTGATCCATGTGAACATAGAACACAACAAAGTTGTGCAAAACCTTCAGTGCGCACATCGCGATCCCTGAAAACGCGCCTGCCATCGCCAACCTCATTGGATACGTTCAGACGTCCGCCTTGGACACGGTGCGATTCCTTGACGGCTGCCTTTCGACCGCCCTTCCGCTCGACAGCACCGCCATAACCCACAATATACAGGTAAACATCACTCAACTGCCTTCATGCGTAGCATTGTATATCGACATGTACTAGTATTATGGAACCAGGGTGTATTCTACTGTAGGGAGCCCGGGTACTGTTCAAGGCACTGCAGGGGCTTGTGCACACATTCGCAAACGTCATGTCTTCGTCCGAGGTCCGGTTCTTCACGCAAGTGCCGTGTTTGCCTTGTCAACGTTCACATAGATTGAGCGGTATTGGGGGAGCATGGGCCATGTATTAGCCGTGTTGCTTCCTCCGCAACCAGCGCAGCCGTTGGATCCCGCGTGTCGACAACATTGGACCAGTTTAGTGGACGACGTTTCGAACTGCATCCAGGCGTCGCTGTCGTTGGGCGACCCGACAACTGAACGGGGGTTGAAAACGTTTGAAACGGGCCTTCTAGGATCGATTCAATCGACCGATCCATCCGACCAGGTGCTGCATCTCCTGGCGGCATATGCGCGGTATTGCGTCGAGAGGACTCCAAGTGGAGAATGGGACGATTGTCGCCACGTGGCAGCGTGGGATGGCATCCTGACCGCCCAGTTGGCGTCGACTGGTTTGCAATATCAATGTACAATGATGATGACTTTGGGGATGGAATCGATGCTGCGGCTGCTGTTTGATGCGAATCAACATGGATCCCAAGCCCTGCAGGTGCCTACTACTACTACTACTACTACTACTACTACTACTACTAATTAGTACTCTCAAGTAGTCATCAAACACCACTCACTCGATGGATTTGATAGTTGCGTCTGTTGCAGCATACGTTTCAAAGCGACTCCATTAGTCATCGGCCCTTGTGCCGCGTTGTGTGGATGCAAGCGCTGCATCTGTGGTACGAATCGCCCTCGAAACTAGTATGACATTCCAACATACTTTTCTCTTTAGGAACCAATTCGACGATGGCGGCGGCGGCGGGTACTCCGACGACATTGTGCGCCTCCTGCTCGACTTGATGATGTGCGACGATGATAATCTGGACATGGCCCATCGCATAACGATTGGCGATTTGATCGTGGACCTGTCTGTAGCCATGCATGCGTCTCAAAAGGTAGCAAGTAAGATCTACTAGCATAGCATGTTAAAACACAACGCCCTGTTGCATTAGATGCTCATCGTTGATTCAGTATCCACCGTCGTTGAGCGCATCTGTGCGGACGGACCGAGCCACGCATTTGGCCGAGTGGACCAAGCTAAGCTGTGTCTGCTAGAACGCTTTTCGCGCTCGTTGCTCGACGGGGTGGATGACGCGTACCGGGTGGTGTACACTGAAAAGTACATGCGCATGTGCTACGAATGCTGTGGCACGGCCGTTCAAATCATCGAGCAAGCGAGCGACGACGGCCTGTGGCGGATTGTGGACGCGACGTTGCTGGTTCTGGGGGGGATTTTCTCGTCGCATGCGGTGGACGACTCGACGGACGACGACGACGTCCAGGCTTGTATAGCCGAGACCATGCCGATGCTTCTCCAAGTGCTGGACCAACTAGCCACATTGACGTGCCCCCCTGGGTACGAATGTGATGATATGAGGATCAATGTGTATGCTAATGAAAAGTGTATAGTCCAAGTCAGCGACGAATTGTTCACACCAGTCGATCCTTGTTGACGTCGTTCCACCACGGACTCAAACGAAATCAACAAAACCATTTGGTTGTGTTGCTGGATGCGCTGCTTCGGTTAGCTCAGTGGCCATCGATGGGTGTTGCCGTGGCTGGTTGGATGATCTGGCTCGGGGACGTTCAAGTGCCTCCACACATGGACGAATTCGCGGTATATGTGTTGTTGCCGCCTTGAAGCACCGCGTCCTCGTCTTACATATGCGTATATGATGATGTAGGCGATGCTATGGAAACACTATTGCAAAGTGTTTTTCGCTCTGCTTGGTTCAAGCGACTGGCCCGTCGTTTGCACAACTTTAGAAGCGATCAGTGTGGTTTTATCCGACTCGTCCTTGCCGCTTCAGGCCAACGGCATCTGTCAAGACCTCCACGAGGCCGCGAGTGTATTGTCGGAGTACATCGACATCAAGTACAACAAAGAAACAACAACCGCGGATCCTGCCAAGTTGCGGAAACGTACCCAATCGCAACTGGACCGCCTGGGCGACGCATGTGCAAGAGTGAAGCGAGCGTGCTCAATGCATCCGCGACTCCTCGACGACCACAAGATCCATGTCGCCCTTGATAATGTCACTGGCCTCTTGGACAACCTCGTGCAAACCCTCGAAATGAGCGACAGATAGCCCCACCTCGTCCTTTCACCACACGTTCGGTTACATGCATGTAGTAGTTAGTAGTATGCCTCATGGAAAGGGGTATATTTGTTGTTTATCGAAACGACCGTCCAAACGAATTGAAAAAACTCGTGTCGATCTTGCCTTGGGATTGCTCCTTTTGCATTTGCTCTCTGTGGACAAGAGCGTTGTATCACTCACACTGCCCAGAACGATATATCGATATACACAACAGTTTGTGTCCGTACCTGTCCTTGGCTTGCTGGACCTGCCGCTTGAGTGTCGCTTGAATCTCCAGTTGAGTGTACGCCCGGTGCTTGTCGGCGGCGTACTCGTTCTCGGCCATCTGCCGTCGGATGCCGTCTTGGACGTGGCTGCGCTCCATCTCGTCCTCGGCTTCCGCCGCATGTCGCTGCTGCTTGGCTTGCACCAGCTCGTGATTGGACAGCACGATCGACTTGACTTCGTCCTTGGACAGACCCTTCCAATGGTCCACCCGCACGCGGTGGGGGTTGGACGTGTGCGCTTGAAGTGCGTTTTCACTCATAAAGTTGCTCTGCACCGTGGCGGCGATCTCGCCTCGGTCCACGCGGTCGTTGAGTTCGTCGAGCGCGGTCTCGTGGTCCTTGGTGGCACTTGCCATGGCCTGGTTGAACCGGCGCACTTCAATTGCCAGCTTGGTCTTTTCGCGGTTGTACTCGACCTCTGCCTGCAGCTGCAACTCGCCTACGCCCTTCATCGTCTCGTCGTACAGCCGGTCCCGCTCCAAGTCGTCTGCGGCTTTGGCGTGCTTGGCGTCCAGCTGGCTCTGCGTCCAGTCGCGCACTTGAGACGCTTGCACTCGACGGCGCTCGTGCCGCCCGAGATCTTCGCCGTCAAACTTTTGAGCCGTCGCCACCGAGCACGCGTCCACATTGAGCGCGGAAAAGTCCTTGGTGCTGCGTGCGATGTCGGCTTCTCGCCGCTCGCCACGTGTCAGCCCTTGACTGAGCCATTCTTGGCGGAGCTTGGCGGCATCGTCGTGTCGCTGGGCCGCCTCGTCGGCCTCGACGCGACTGAGGTATCGGCGGATGGATTCCTGCTCTTGGACTAGGCGTACGTACGATGTTACTGGTGTCGATACACACTGTATGCAGACGAAAGTGGGATGTACATACCATAGACTAGCTCGTCGTGGGCTTCGCGAGCCGCCCGCGCTTCCTTTTCAATCAGTTGATTCTTGATGCCAATGATGTCCGCCTACTCAAACCGTAAACAGGACGTTTGACAGACGCGCACATGTATCCTTACGCCATTGTTGCGCAGGCGGCCATCGTGCAGCTTTTTCACGCGCTCGGTGTCGCGAGACCGGCGCGCGAGCGCTCGGCGCACTTCGGGGTCCTCGACCAAGGTCGACGTGGGCAGCACCATATGGACGACGATCGAGGATGGCTCGGGTGGCGGTCGTTGACTTGCTCAACGAAGGGCCCGTTGTTGGTTTCGTTTTGATGGAGAGTTTTGCTAAAAATAGATTAGGTTTCTTGTGAAACCCCTCCCACACGCTCAACGCGCCACGTCATGTCGAACAAGTACTCGGAGGACTTAGTTCATTACTACTAGTTACCGATAGTACAAGGTTAACGTGACCAAGGTAACTGATAGTACACTCACTACTTTTGAATCTCTATTTTTTAATAGTATGTTACTATTATTAATAGTACTACGTAGTATTAATACTTACTACATGCTTCGTACTATTCCTGGTATTGTGGATTTGGTACAGGTTTCCAGATCGAAATCTCGCCGCGGAATCGAATATCGAATCGACACTATTGGCTAATCCAATTTGAGTGGATTTGATTGGCTCTAACAGAAAGGACAAGTATGTTCAACCAATCAGAACTCCACCGTGATTCAATCTTGATTAGTTAAACCGCGCGAATTTTGGAAGTTTATAGCGAATTCACAATATTACGGATAATATTAATCGATAGTATCAATACAATAACGCGAGTAGTATTATTCAACCCGTACTAGTATTCCATTATATTAACGTTTATAGTACAATCAATACAGAGTGCTACGACGTAAACTACACTGCGGGACCTCGTGAACCCACATCCACTCGTTCGTGTAATAAACCCCTGCGCATCTCTTTATGTTTCAATATGATGAGTATCATCTTACGCCGCCGCGGCCGTAGCGTCGGCATCGGCGGGGTGGTCCACTTCGAACGCTTTGTTCTTGTCGTTCACATACTTGGCCACGTCGTGTCGAAGCAGCACAGGGTGTTTGCGGCCAGCGATCACGTCGCCGTCAACGTACACGGCCTTGACATGCGGCATATCTGGGATATGAAACATGGTTTCCACCAATGCGCGCTCAAAGATGGCGCGTAACCCGCGGGCGCCCGTGTTGCGCTGCACGGCCAAGTCGGCCACGGCGTCCAATCCACAAGGGGACACGTGGAAGTCGACGTTTTGGAGGGCGAACAGCGCCTGGTACTGCTTGATGAGCGAGTTCTTGGGCTCTGTGAGCACCCGCACGAGCTCATCTTGGGTCAGACCCAGCGTGCTCACAACCACTGGGAAACGGCCGACAAACTCGGGGATCAAGCCGTACGAGACGAGGTCCTGGGGCTCGGACAGCATCAGCAGCTGCCCGACACTTTCGAGTCCGTCCGGTTTGGTGGTGGGCAGGCGCGCACCAAACCCAATCGACGCGCTGGCCGCCGTGCGACTCGACACGATCTTCTCCAGGCCGGCAAACGCGCCGCCGCAGATGAACAGAATGTTGGTCGTGTCGATTGCAATGAACTCCCCACGTGGATTCTTGCGCCCGCCCTTCTCGGGGACGTTCACGACGCATCCTTCGAGCATCTTGAGCAGCGCTTGCTGCACGCCTTCGCCCGACACGTCGCGCGTGATGCTCACCTACGGTAGTAGTAGACAGGAGTTATACTATTTCATTAGACAACGGTAGTCTTATTCGACGTACGTTTTCGCTTTTGCGTGAAATTTTATCGATTTCGTCAATGTAGATCTACATCGACATGTCAGAGAATGAAACCACATACATATAGGGAGACGACGTACGATGCCTCGCTGGGCAGCTTCCACGTCATAGTTGGCGGCCTGGTACAGCTTGAACAGAATAGACTCGACGTCTTCGCCCACATACCCCGCTTGCGTGAGGCACGTAGCGTCCGCAATCACCAGCGGCACTTGCGCCATGCGCGCCAACGTCTTGGCCATGAGCGTCTTCCCAGAGCCCGTTGGTCCCACGATCATCATGTTGGTCTTGTCCAGCTCCACGTCGTCCTCGACGTCTGGCGCCGCGTCGGCGGAAGGGACGAGGGCTTCCACATGCACGCCGTGGCCGAGCGAATGGACGACCGATTGACTGTTGGCGTCGCTCCTTGTCTTCTTCTTGACAGCATGCATGTGCAGCCTCTTGTAGTGGTTGTGGACGCCGACGCTGAGCGCTTTCTTGACGGCGTCCTGGCCAATCACGTACGAGTTGAGCCCGTCGAAGATTTGCCGGGGGGTGAGCACGCAGTCTTGAGCTTCGGGCGTTGCGACAGCCGCGGGTGAAGATCCTCCTTGGTGCACGATTCGGTTGTACTCGCTTTCGGCTACGGCATCCATTGAGTATGGCAAAGAATGAACCGATGGGACTGCGACGTACTGGTGAGTCGCGGGGTCGACGCCTGGGAGGACGGGCGGTCGCCGAGCGAAGGAAAGCCGCCAGTAGACTTGACGACGAAGCGGCCCTTGCATTCTTCGCAGGAAATCACGTCCCCCTCGGTCAAATTGGACGGAATGGCAAACGCGTCCGATGATGATTGCTGGATGACATTGGCCTTGGCCATGATGTTTGGTGCGGCCACGGCGACAGACAGCTTTAGTCCATTTCCACACTGAGGACACGGTAACAATCCAGGACCCCCGTCTCCAGTCGAGAAGGTCGAGAGCCCTCGACCTGTCACGGAACTTGTCGGCCCGTGGCATGTCGGACGAAGGAGGTTCCTTGCGACGAGGGCACGCAGTGGAGAATCCGTCGTGCGTGAGCCGTGCTTGAGCACTGTCATGAACGACGACGCTGTGCGATGATGCACCATGCTTCGCCTCATCACTGCGCTCGGCACGAGTTTACCTAGAGCTGCCGCCATGTGTCAGCCTCAAATATTATTATTCACCTTGTCAGCGACTCTTCTACCGGTAGTGTATGTACTGTACAGTAGTACATACTATTAATACGTAGTAGCTCAAGTACTACAGTATTTCTGTAATATTAATAGTACTAATTTTGATGCTAGTACTACTATTACTAGTACTATACTGAAATCGAGAATACTCAGGACGATGAAATATTGTAGTCGAACGCAGACAATCGACTAGCCAATGAAATTTCTTCAATCCTAAATTCCAACCAATGGTAGTCCGGACTATTGTCGATTTGATACAAATTTGGGGAGAGGGTGCAATCGAATCGCGCCGACCAAACCGATCCACAATCGATCTGATTGGTTGAATTTCATTGAGAAGGTTTTGATTGGCTAATAATTTTGAGCTCATCTGAGGTAGCCAATCAAATCGATTTAAATTCCAACGAGAAACCACACCATAACACGAAATTTCACTCGAAAGCACAATACTACACCACCTCCCAGTCAAGTTGAATCGTTTTTCCAGTCAAGTTGGAATGGATAAAAAGTATAAATTTTGACGAGTGAAGTGATGTGAAAATCTCGAATCAAGTTAGAATAATATCCAATCAAGTTGGAATACGTTAGCGGAAAAAGTGGCGGGAATGCATGATATAACAATACATGAACTTCGACTCACTTCCAAATTCTTGACCTTGCTATGCCATCCTGCGTTAAGCGCAAAGGGCCAACGTCAGAAGAAAAGGAGCGCGTACTCGAAGCCTACCAGCGCGGCGACGACTGGAAGCTCGTGGCGAAACATAATGGCATGGCATCCACTACAGCCTGGCGCG